GAGAGAGACAGTGTGAACAGGGGAGGGTCAGAGAGAGAGGGAGTGACAGACTCTGAAACAGGCTCCAGGCTCTGAGCTGGCAGTCAGCACAGAGCCCGACGCGGGGCTCGAACCCACGAACCGCGAGATCATGACCCGAGCGAAAGTCAGACGCCCAACCGACTAAGCCACCCAGGCGCCCCCGGAAATTTGTGCTTCTTAACCCCCTTTATCTGTTTCAGCCATTTCCTTACCCACCACCCTTCTGGGAAGTCTTCTTCTGTTTTTGTTCATTTATTTTGTTTTTAAGATTCCACATGTAAGTGAAATTGTATGGTATTTGTCTTTCTGTGTCTGACTTATTTCACTTAACATGATACCCTCTGGTTCCATCCGTGTTGTCACAAATGGCAGATTCTTGTTCTTTTTTATGGCTGGCTAATAACACCATCTTCTTTGTCCATTCATTTGTTAATGGGCACTAGGGTTGATCCCATGTCTCAGCTGTTGTAAATAATGCTGAAATAAACATAGGGAGGGGGGCGCCTTGGTGGCTCAGTTGGTTAAGCCTATGACTTCGGCTTAGTTCGTGATCTCTTGGATCATGGGTTTAAGCCCCACGTCGGGCTTGCTGCTGTTAGCACAGAACCCACTTCAGATCCTTGGTCCCACTTTCTCTCTGCCCCTCCCCTGCCCACTCTTGCTCGCCCGCTCTCTCTCAAAATAAACAGAGGGGTGCATATGTCTTTGAGTTAGTGGTTTTGTTTTCTTTGGAGAAATACCCAGTAGTGGAATTACTGGATTATATTTCAATTTTTAATTTTTCAAGAAACCTCCATTCTGTTTTCCATAGTGGCTGCACCAGGTTTGCATTCCCACCAACAGAGTTTGAGGGCTCCTTTTCCTCCACATACTTACCAATACTTGTTAATGCTTGTCTTTTTTTATTTTAGCCATTCTGATAGGTGTAAGGTATTATCTCATTGTGGTTTTGATATGCAGTTCCCTGACTATTACTAATGTTGAACATCTTTTCATGTGGCTGTTGCCTATCTGTATGTCTTTAGAAAAATGTCTATTCGGGGGCGCTTCAGTGGCTCAGTCAGTTAAGCATCCAACTTCAGCTCAGGTGATGATCTCATGGCTCGTGGGTTCTAGCCACATGTTGGCCTCTGTGCTGAAAGCTTGGAGCCTGGAGCCTGTTTTGGATTGTGTGTCTCCCTCTCGCTCTGCCTCACTCCCACTCTCACTCTGTCTCTCTTAAAAATAAATAATAAACATTAAAAAAAAGAAAAATGTCTATTCAGGCCCTCTGCCCATTTTTAACTTGGGTTTTAGGGGTTTTTTGGTGTTGAGTTTTAGAGGTTCTTTATATATTTTAGATATTAACTCCTTATCAGATAGAGCATTTGCAAAATTCCATTCAGTGGTTTGCCTTTTGTTGGTTGTTTCTTTTATTTTGCAAAAGCTTTTTATTTTGGTGTAGCCAAAATAATTTTATTTTGCTTTTGTTTCCCTTGCCTGAAGACATATCTATAAATATGTTGCTAAAGCTGATGCCCAAGAGATTCCTGCCTGTGTTTTCTTTTAGGAGTTTTATGGTTTCAGGTCTCACATTTAGATCTTTAATCCATCAGTTCCTTTTTGCGTAACATTCTTTTATATCCTGTATTTGCTCTTTAACTCACTGCCAGTATGTTTCAAGTTTGGACCGATATTTTTAGATTTCTTTCAAGAGTCTAAGTAGAAGTGATAAGAGTTCAGGAGTTGGGTGAAGAAAATAGTGGAAAAGAAGTAAGAACCGTGTTAGGACTGCTTGGTTTGGAGTGGCATGTCATTGAGTCCCTAGCTCCATTTTTTTGTTTTTTGGGTATTTTTCAGGTTCTTGTTTTTAGTTGTCAGTAGAGGGCGCTTACCACCCTGTTAATATTTCTGAAACTTGAATGGAAGTTGCTAATAATTAACGCTACTGAATGTTTTGGTGGAGTTAAGGTTAGAGACCATTAATTATTTGTTGAGGGCAACAATTTTGACAGACTTAAGAACATAGAAGCTTTAAGATAGAAAAAGGTTTGTCTTCACATTGAAATTTCTATAACTGACTAAAATTAGAAACCAAATGTTCTTCTGGACCAAAGTAAACTTCAAAGAACAGATTAGGCCAGGGTTTGGCAACCTTTTCTGTGAAGGGCCCCAGACTGACTACTTTAGGCTTTGAGGGCCATGTGGTCTTCACTGCAGTTATTCTACTCAGTCCGCGATAGCACGGAAGCATCCATGGACAGAACAGAAATGAGTGGGTGTGGCTGTATTCCAGTAAAACTTCATTTATAAAAACTCACTTGGGCACAGTTCAGCCTGAGGGTTATGCTTTGCCAATCCCTGCATTTTATTATTTGATTTTTTAAAATATTTTTAATTTTTTTTTTTTTTTTTTTAAGAGAGAGAGACAGCATGAGCAGCGGAGGGCAGAGAGAGAGAGGGACACATAGAATTTGAAGCAGGCTCCAGGCTCCGAGCTGTCAGCACAGAGCCTGACATGGGGCTCGAACTCACAGATGGTGAGATCATGGCCTGAGACGAAGTCAGATGCTTAACTGACTGAGCCACCCTGGTGCCCCAATTTGATTTTTTTCTTAAGTCAGATTTACTGAGCTTTATTTTATACACAGTAAAATTCACCCATTTTAATGTATAATTAGATGAGTTTTGATAAATACACACTCATTTGGGTTACAATCAAGGAGAGGAATAGTTCCATCAACCCCAAAAATTCCTTCATGCCCCTTTGTAATCAGCTCCTCCTCTACTTTCAACCCCTGGCAACTATTTTTTTTTTATATATTTTTTTAATATTTTATTTATTTCTAGGAGAGAGACAGCGTGAGCAGGGGAGGGTCAGAGAGAGAGAGGGAGTCACAGACTGAAACAGGCTCCAGGCTCTGAGCTGGCAGTCAGCACAGAGCCTGACGCGGGGCTTGAACCCACGAACCTCTATTTCATGACCTTAGTGAAAGTCGGACGCTTAACCGACTAAGCCACCCAGGCGTCCCAGCCCCTAGCAACTATTGATGTGTTTTCAGTCCCTGTAGTTTTACCTTTTTCAGAATGCCTCATAAGTAGGATCATATAGTATAGAGCCTTTTGAGACTGGCTTCTTTCCTTCAGCATAATGCATTTGATGTTCATTCAGTAGTTTCTTCCTTTTTACTGCTGAGTAGTGGCACACTGTATAGAATTACTAGGGCTCATCAGTTCAGCAATTGAAGGATATGGAACTTCCAGTTTTTGGTTTTTTTTTTTTAAATGTTTTATTTATTTCTAGGAGAGAGAGAGACAGCGTGAGCAGGAGAGGGTCAGAGAGAGAGGGAGTCACAGACTGAAACAGGCTCCAGGCTCTGAGCTGGCAGTCAGCACAGAGCCCGACTCGGGGCTCGAACCCACGAACTGTGAGATCATGACCCAAGTGAAAGTCGGACGCTTAACCGACTAAGCCACCCAGGCGCCCCATGGAACTTCCAGTTTTAAACAGTTATAAATAAAGCCACTCTACCTATGTGCACACAGGTTTTTGGTTGAACTTAAGTTTCTGTTTGTCTTGGGTAAATATCTAGGAGTGGGATTGCTAGATCATGTGGTCAGTATATATTTAACACATGAGAAACATATATTTAACACACTGATAAGCTGTCTTCCAAAGGCTACAGATCTTTCTTTCTCCTTGATTAGTGATGGGCTCCTGATTTTGGCAGCTGCATGGCACCCAGCGGACAATCCGTGTCTCATCTATTACTCTCTGATAACAGTAGAAGATAGTGGCCACCAAATGTCTGATGTAGTAACTGTAGAAGTCACTCAGTATAATCCACCTTTTCAGGTACGATTTCTATCTGCAAATTAAATTACAAATGATAGTAACATACAAGTAACTGAACTCATACAAGTTGTTTGTCAGATCTTTTTAAGAGATTAATTTGCGGGGCTTGGAAATATTTTTAAATAGCCAGTTTTTAGGCATTGCCGTCTTACATCTGTTCCTTTGCCCAATCTTAGCTAAATGAGAGTAGAAGCAGCTGACAACAAGCAGTTGTTCAATATTGTAAATATTGTTTAATAATGATGCCATTCGTAAGGAAATGTAAATTCATTTCATTTGGCCTTCAGTGATATAGTATCTAATTTTGTTAAATCCTTATTCTTAATATGACTGTAACTAAATACTGTAAGGAAATAATTTAATTTGTTCTTTTATTTCAGACAAACCTCATAGTTCTGATTATGTAGGAAAAACATGCTCAGTGTTAAGATTTTTCAGGCAGTGCAAAAGAGGTAGAAAGAAAACAGTTTCAGAATGAAATCACAGGATACCCCTTTTAATGTTTTATTTATAAAATTACTTCTTTAATAACAAACAGTATGTATTTGCTAATTTCATTTAATTAAGTCCTATTTCTATTTCTGCTTCTGATTTTATATATGAACAAATGAACTCTGTTTTCTTGTGCTTGATATCTTCACAATGAAGTAAGAACCTGCATGTTTACCAGGGATCACTTATAAAGTATTTGCCAATTCTAAATCAGTAATATAAGGAATTAATTTTTTTTGATGTTTATTTATTATTGAGACAGAGAGAAACAGAGCATGAATAGGGGAGGGACAGAGAGAGAGGAAGACACAGAATCTGAAGCAGACTCCAGGTTCCGAGCTGTCAGCACAGAGCCCAGTGTGGGGCTCAAACCCACAAACTGTGAGATCATGACCTGAGCTGAAGTCAGACGCTTAACTGACTGAGCCACCCAGGTGGCCCTGAATTAATTTTTTTATGTCTTTTTTTTTTTTTAGTTTAGTTTAGTTTTGGATTTTTTGTTGTTTTTCATTTTTTAATTAATAAATTATTTATTTTCAATCCAAGTTAGTTAACATATAGTGTAATAATGATTTTAGGAGTAGAATTTAGTGACCCATCATTTTTATACTGCACCCAGTGCTCATCCCAACAAGGGCCCTCTTTAATGGCCACCCCCCATATAGCCCATCCCCCTCCAGCAACCCTCAGGGTGTTTTCTGTATGTAGGAATCTCTTATGGTTTAGCTCCCTCTCTGTTTTTATCTTATTTTTGCTTGTCTCCCCCTGTTCATCTGTTTTGCTTCTTAAATATTTTTTTTCTTTTCTCACATTTCTTAAAGGCTTTTAGTTAAAATCCTACCACCATGGGATTATTTCCAAAATTAGCTAATTATTTACAGCTCTACAAATGGTTTCTCTAATTGATGTTTGTAAACCTATTTTATAAATCATCCCAAGGGTAGTATTTGGGTTTTCATAAGGGCAATCTGAATTATTTTATCGTATTTATGAGATAATGAACAAAAATATAAAAAAAATTATACAAACAAGTATTTCTGTTCTAATTCTCATTAAATGTAATCTTTAATTTTCAGTCTGAAGACTCGATTATGTGTCGGTTGATGGTCCCAAACTTTTCAAACCAGACTGCTTATCTGTACACTGAGAGTGCCGTCTATGTGTGCTCCACGGGAACTGGGAAGTTTTCTCTTCCTCAGGAGAAAATTATCTTTAATACACAAGGTACAGTATCAGTTTCAGAAAGGATGGTTAACGACTCAGCCATTCTTAAAGTTTTTTTTTTGTTTTTTTGTTTTTTTTTTTTAATATTTTTATTTTATTTCTAGGATAGAGAGAGACAGTGTGAACAGGGGAGGACCAGAGAGAGAGGGAGACACAGACTCTGAAACAGGCTCCAGGCTCTGAGCTGGCAGTCAGCACAGAGCCCGACGCGGGGCTCGAACCCACGAACCGCGAGATCATGACCTAAGTGAAAGTCGGACGCTTAACCGACTAAGCCACCCAGGCACCCCATTCTTAGAAGTTTTTATTGTCTTTCCATAAGTGTTATTTTAAGCATGGTACCTCCAAGTGTTATTGAGACATTCACTCAGTACGATACCAGTAGTAGATGATGTCCCAACCCTACTGAAAAACCAGAAGGGTAGTAAATTCCCAAACTGTTATGGGCAAAAATAGTAATGTTCTCCAGAAAAAGCCAGGAAGGAGAGAACTGATGGTAAGAAAAGTAATTGCTTATTCCTAGTTATAATAACTTATGCTGGGTTGCTGTTCTTTAAGGGAGTTTGTCCAGATCTCTGGATTAGGAGATTCCCAGATGGTGGACTCATGCAAGGGTGCTGGAATGGGGGTAGGGGCAGGTGGAGCCAGCCAGGAGTGAGAAAAAGCCAAGCAGGTAGTCTAGTCAGGAATTTTGTCTAAAGAGATTGGGCAGAGGGCAAAATCCAAGTAGGGCAATAGGATGGAACTTAGATTTTCTAGTTTAAACACAAGAGCCTTGACCTTGGGTAGGGAGAATGTTATTAAGTCATTGAGCAAGCATAGACTTTTTTTTCCCTCCCCTTTGGCTTAGTAAGTAAAAATACAGGGCACCTAGGTGGCTGAGTCAGTTGAGCCTCTGACTCTTGATACCGGCTCAGGTCACGATGTCTCAGTCGTGGGATCAAGCCCTGCATCAGGCTCCACCCTGGATGTGGGATTTTCTCCCTCCCTCTCTTCCTTTCCCCTGCTCTAGCTCTCTTTCTCTACTTCTCTTTCTCTCTCCCTCCCTCTCTCTCTCTCTCTCTCTCTCTCTCTCTCAAATAAAATTTTTAAAAAGCTGAGTTCTAAGTAGGAATATTGTAAAGGAAAAAAATGTTTATATTATATCAAAATGAGGTTTTGCTAAAGGTGGTAGATTTTATTTATATTTTATTTTTAAGAGAGAGAGTATATATGCGGGGGAGGGGCAGAGGGAGAGAGAATGTCAAGCAGGCTCTGCGCTCTCAGGGCTCAATCCCACAACCCTGGGATCATGACCTGAGCCGAAAATAAGAGTCAGACACTCAACTGACTGAGGTGCCCCTAGAGTGATAGACTTTAGAAAGCATTTTTTAGTTATGTATTTTTGTATATTTTCTTTCTTTCAGGAGATAGTATTTTAGGAGCTGGTTCCTGCAGTGGTCTTCCTATTCTTTTTTCTAGAAACAGTGGATTGGTGTCTATTACGTCAAGGGAAAATGTGTCCATATTAGCAGAAGACCTTGAAGATTCCCTAGCATCTTCAGTTGCTGGACCCAGCAATGAGGTAATGCAGTTCCATAAGACTTTTAAATTTTTATTAGAGTAATTCCTTAAAAAATTTTTTTTTGAATATTTATTTTTGAGAGAGAGAGTCAGAATGTGAGCAGGGAAAGGGCAGAGAAAAAGGGAGGCACAGAATCCGAAGCAGGCTCCAGGCTCTGAGCTGTCTGCACAGACCCTGACACGGGGCTGAAACTCACAAATCTTGAGATAATGACCTGAATTGAAGTAGGACACTTAACTGACTGAGCCACCAAGTGCTCCTAGATATTTCCCACAAATGTTTTAGTTGAACAGTTTTAAAAGAGTTGTGATGAAACATAATTCTTTTACCTCCCTCATCTCCTCTGTCCTCCCTTCCAGAAGCAGCCAGCTCCTTTCAGGTCTTTCAGCAGGGTCTTCTGGTATGTTTCTCCATATTTCTAAGTAAGAGTGTATGTTGCTATCTGTCTCTTAATTTACCAGTTTTAGACGTCTCTTGATTTCCTATTATAGAAGATAAGGATTTAGGTAACTTACATTCCTTCCTCTGCCTATATTGTCCCAATATAAACTCTTTTCCTTTAATAACAATGTGAATATTGTTTACGGTTAACTGAGTCAGGTAATATACTGATTACATTTCCTTCATTATTCAACTTCATGTGATTCTTGGAGTTTTTAATGGACTATTTTTATATTTGCTTTTATTCTTCTTTAATATGTGGCCCATCTTCTAACAGCCTCCAATAGCCGTTTAAGTGCCTTTCAATATGGTCTTCCTCATAGTCAAATCTCTAGAAATTCTACATCTACGATCATCTTGGAATTTTCCTTTTCATTGTCCACAGACCCCCAGGGGTCTGTCCCTGCACCGCCCACACTATCTGCTGTGTCTCCTCTCCACTCTGTCCGCCATTCCTTCTTCTGGTTTCCATCTGCATGCATGGTAGTTGGAATCACAGATGTTTGGGTGGTGATGCTTCTGCTACTATGGGATGATTTTGAAAGGGAGAGTGGGGCACAAAGCACCAGGGTTTTTCTGTCTTGCAACATGAAATACCCTGAGCTGTAGATTTGTATCATTCTTTTACAGAAGACTAAATTAATATCATGTGGGGTAATTTCCATTTGAATAAAATGTGAAATATATTGACTATGTCTGTAATTCAGAATTAAAATGACTTGGTAGTTTCAACAGAAAGTGACAGTTTTTTTACTTTTATTCTTTTGTAGCCTTGGAGATTTGTAATACTGCCTTATGTTACAAAGCTATCTTAGAGCATACTACTTCTTTAAAATTTTTCTAAATCCTTGTTTAAGCTTAAAATCAACTGTTATTCTTGGTAATATACATTGTGATGAACTGTGTAAGAGCAAACCTATAAAAGGTTTTGTGGGTTATGATGAAACGCCCAGATAATTTTACTCACAATATAATCCCTGAGTTAATATATACCTTTTTAAAAATAAATTGAGTCAACTAATATTTTTTATTTTTATATTTATTCTAGGATAGTTAACATAAAGTGTTATGTTAGTTCCAGGGATGCAATATAGTGTTTCAGTAATTCTATACATTACTCAGTGTTCATTATGATAAATGTACTTTTACTCCCCTTCACCTGACCCATCCCCCCACTCACCTCCCCTTTGTGACCACCAGTTTGTTCTCTAGAGTTGTTGAGACTGTTTTTCACATTGTCTCTTCTTTTTCATTGTTTGTTTGCTTGGTTTCTTCCACATATGAGTGAAATCATATGGTATTTGTTTTTCTCTGACTGACTTCATTTAGCATTGTATTTTCTAGATCCATCCATGTTGTTATAAATGGCAAATATACATTCATTCTTATGGCTGAGTAATACTCCATTGTTCTCTCTCTCTCTCTCTCACACACACACACACACACACACAGCACATCTTCTTTATCTATTAATCTACTGATGGATACTTGGGCTGCTTCCATAATTTGGCCCTTGTAAATAATGCTAAACATAGGGGTTCATATATATTTTTAAACTAGTGTTTTTGTATTCTTTGGGTAAATATCCAGTAGTGTGATTGCTAGATTGAAGGATTGTTCTACAAATGTGCGTGCGAGTGGGGGAGGGGCAGAGGGAGAGGGAAAATCTTCAGCAGCCTCCACACCCAGTGCAGAGCCAGACTCAGGGCTCCATCCCCACGCATTGTGAGATTATGACCTGAGCCAAAATTAAGAGTCAGGCTCTTAACTGAGCCACCAAGGCGCCTCAGGGTAGTTTTACTTTTTTAACTTTTTGAGGAATCCCCATACCATTTTCCACAGTGGCTTCACCAGTTTGCATCCCCACCAACAGGGCACAAGGGTCCCTTTTTTGTCCACATCCTTACCAACACTTGTTTTTTAGGTGTTAAATCAGTTCTTTATATATTTTGAACAGTAATCCTTTATCAAATATGTCATTGGCAAATGTCTTCTCCCATTGAGTAGTTTGTCTTTTAGTTTCATTGTTTCATTTGTTGTGCAGAAGCTTTTTATTTTGAGTTAGTCCCAGTATGTTATTTTTGCTTTTGTTACCTTGGCCTCAGGATACATATCTAGAGAAACATGGATGTCAGAGAAATTAACTGCCTGTGCTTTCTTCTGGGATTTTTATTGTTTCAGGTTTCAGATTTAGGTCCTTAATCAAATTTTGAGTTTATTTTTGTATATAGTTCAAACTGGTCCAGTTTCATTCTTTTGCATGTAGTTGTCCAGTTTTCCCATCACCATTTGTTAAAAAGCGACTGTCTTTCCCATGCATATTCTTGCCTCCTTTGTCACAGATTAATTGATCATACAGTTGTGCATTTACTTCTGGGCTCTGTTTTGTTCCATTGGTCTGTGTGTCTCTCTTTGTGCCAGTACCATACTGTTGATGACTAAAGCTTTGTAATTTTTTCTTTTAATGTTTGTTTATTTTTAAGAGAGAGAGACAGAATGTGAGCAGGGGAGAAACAGAACGTGAGCAGGGGAGGGGAGAGAGAGTGAGGGGATCACAGAATCCAAAGCAGTCTCCAGGCTCCAAGCTGTCAGCACAGAGCCCCAACGCAGGCCTCGAACCCATGAACCATGAGATCATGACCTGAGCTAAAGTTGGACACATAACTGACTGAGCCAGCCAGGCACCCCTGATTACTATAGCTTTGTAGCATAATTTCATATCTAGGATTGTGAGATTTAACAGTTTTTTCTTTTCCAAGACTGCTTTGGTTATGTATACCTTTTTGTTAAGACTTTTGTTGACCATTTGGTCCATTTTATCTGGTTTCAGTAAATGTCTTAAGCCTCTGATGTAAAATGCATTCTAAACAGTTTGTGTGTGTGTGTGTGTTGTTGCTGTCACAGGTGGGTCCAGTTTCTAGTCCCGTAATTTAGAATATTCTGATATCTTCAGCTCTAAGTTACGGTGTTTTATTTGACAGAGTATGGTTTTTGAGGCTTCTACAAAGAATGAAATCATAGCCCAAGAAGATAAAACCAAAGTGTTAAAAGCTGCTTTTCTGCAGTACTGCAGGTACGAAATGTTTTTTAAATTTATGGCTCAATTTATTTGACGTCTGAGCACACATTTTACTTACACATGTGTTCCTTATTTGTTGACTGGTGAGCAAGTTGGAGGAATGCTGCCACCAAGGAGCAGATGTTTTTCTGAGCTTCAGTGCTTTACCAAACTTACTCTGCACTTGGTAGGCACAAGAGACTTCCAGCTGGTCTAAGAAAAAACATAGTGTAACATACCCTCTCCACTTAATGGATAACAATGTGCTGTTAAAAATGGTGATCATGGAAGACCTCTTTTTTTTTTTTTTTTACAAATAGTTTATTGTCATGTTGGTTTCCATATAACACCCAGTGCTCATCCCCACGAGTGCCCTCCTCCATGCCCATCTCCCCCTTCCCCCCCCACACCCATCATTCCTCAGTTTGTTCTCAGCATTCAAGAGTCTCATGGTTTGCCTCCCCCCTTCTCCTCCTCCACGGTCCTCCATTAAGTTCCTCCTAATCCTCCTATACGGGCAAACATATGGTATTTGTCCTTCTCTGCCTGACTTATTTCACTCAGCATAACACCCTCAAGGTCCATCCATTTTGCTACACATGGCCAGATGTCATTCTTTCTTATTGCCAGATCATGGAAGACATCTTGCAAGCATGTTTTATGTAGACTTTGAAGACAAATAAATTGCATACAAAGGCTTATTGATGTCATAAAGAAATTAGACTTGGCGTATTCATTGAGTTTTGTCATGTACAGGATCACCAGAGAACTGAGTGGCTTATTTAGTGTAGCTCATGAATCTGCCATCTGGCTGTTTTGGGGCTGGCCTCCTGTGGACTCATTGTCCATGATCAGCTGCCAGCCACCCAACCTAGGCTTGCTCACAGTTTGGGGGCTCTGGTTGGTCATCTCTCTGCTCATGTGCCCTCTCATCATCTAATAGACTCCCCTCCCTGGGTGCTCTCCTCCTCCCCGTGGCTTCAGTTCTTCCCTAAGATGCAGACATAATTTACTCATGTGTGTGATGTGTGCTCTCTCTGCCACCTGCACCCCTCCTCCTAGTCACCTCAGCCGTGCTGCTCTTCTGCCTTAGCTGCAGGCCTCTGCTTATCCATCTCTTCCTCCAGGAAGTTTTCCCTGCCCCTGGGACGGGTTTGGTTTCCCTTCTGTGTGCTCTGTACATGTAACTGCTTGTTTAACTCTCTGGCTCCTTGTCACACCGAATCCTTTGTGAAGTTTTGGACTATTTTTAATGTCTTGTCATTCTGCCTCCAGTGCCCGGCCTGTTGTAAGCACTCAACATGTATTTGTTGAATTAATAAATGCATTAATAGTCTCTCTTTCGTTTTATTCATCTTTTTTAATGTTTATGTATTTTGAGAGAAAGAGATAGCAAGCAGGGGAGGGGCAGAGAGAGGGAGACAGAGAATCCCAAGCAGGCTCTGCACTGCCAGGGCAGAGCCAGATGTGGATCTCGAACTCACGAGCCATGAGATTACGACCTGCGCCAAAATCCAGAGTCGGACGCTTAACTGACTGGGCCACCCAGACGCCCCATGTCTCCCTTTTAAATAAATTTTACTTTAATGTATTAATAATGTTGTTAACTTTGGGCTAAAATAGGGGAGTTTCACAATTAACTTTTTTTGTGGTGAAGTTTGAAAATGTTTGCCTCCTTTAATACTTTTATTTTCCAATTTTGATTTCAGGAAAGATATAGGTCATGCTCAAATGATGGTTGATGAGCTCTTTTCCTCCCACTCTGATTTGGATTCCGACTGTGAACTAGACAGGGCTGTTACCCAAATCAGTGAGGACCTGGTGGATGACTACCCAGCCTCTGACCCACGGTGGGCCGAGTCTGTCCCCGAGGGTAAGGACTTCTGTTTTTCATGTTATGGAGTGATCTGTTTTGAGAATATTCTGGTTCCTTTAATAAAGCATCTTTTGAAACATGTCTTTTTTAGTTTTTGAAACAATTGTTAATTTATAATGTTTTAAAAGGTTGTAAATTACCTTATAGTAGATTTTGGAAAGGGCTTAGATCAGATCTGCATAATAAAAACTGAAGGAATATTGGAGCAAATCTTGCTTGTTCTGCCTGAAGCAGATTAATGAGCTCTACTTAGCTTCCTCACCATTTTATTTCTAAAAGGAAATTGGTAGCATAGGTAAGCATTTGGCGTCTGTTATATATATACATATGTGTATATATATATGTTTTTAAGTTTATTCATTTATTTTGAAAGAGAGAGTGTGCGCAAGTGGGACAGGGGCAGAGAGAGGGAGAGAGAATTCCAAGCAGGCTCCACTTTGTCAGCGCAAAGCCCAATGCAGGGCTCAAACTCATGAACTGCGAGATCATGACCTGACCTGAAGTTGGACACTTAACCTACTGAGCCACCCAGATGCCCCATTGACCCCTGCTTATTAGCCCCCAAATTTTGGCATAATCACTGTATTTGCCTAATAGAAATTATACATTTTCTTAAGAGCTGCCATGAGTAACCCTCAGTGTTTTGAAGTGGGCATGTCTTGTCTGTCTGCCCAGCTTTTCCCTCCCTGCTCTGGGGGCTGTCCCTCTTAGACTTCTACCGCAGCGTCCCAGCAGATGGCCTCAGATCTCATTTCTCTCCCTCATTTCTTACTTTGCAAGTTAGCTAAGCCTCATTAGAGGTTTACGAAGGAAATGTTAGTGCTTACCTTTTTTCTTTGACTTTATTTTTAGCTGTCAAGCATAGAACAATAGAAATAATTAAGCTAATAATAGCATGTTTTGTGTTTTGAATAAACACAGTATAAAGTGTATCAGACTCCCAAAATTTCCCTCTAAATTTTTTAAATTCTTGGGTAATGTTACAAATAATTGCATTGAAAGGTTTGGTTTCCTTTTGTATAGATTTTTTTTTTCTTAACTTTTTATTTTAATAGCAGTAGTTATTGTAAACCAGGTATACTATGTGTTTAAATCTTGTTATTGTGTTTCAACAGAAGCACCTGGGTTTAGCAATACATCACTGATTATTCTTCACCAGCTGGAAGACAAAATGAAAGCCCATTCTTTCCTTATGGACTTTATTCACCAGGTAAGCATCTCATCTCTATGAACAGACACTGTCTTTTGTCAGCTCTCTCCAGGACAGCAGGAGATCCTTGCTTATTGTGAGGTGTTTCATTGGGTGGGACATGGCGCGTGTTTTGGATTTTCTTTGCTGTCTTAAAAGTAATTCTAGGGTTGGTGGGGGTGGAGGGGGCGAGCTATTCAAGGATAAATACTGTATTGAAAACAGGGTAAAAAGGAAGAAAAATAGTGTATTTCAGTAGAAATGCTTCAGCTTTTCTTATAACATTCAATGATATCCTGCTTCTTATTCAGGTCTTCTGTGTGCTTTTATGTAAACTTAGGTTTTCATGAATTGACTTTATATTATTAAAAAGACAGTGAATAATATCAAGGTGATGACAGATTTTGATATATGGGTTTTTAATTTTGAAGGGCCATTAGAATCAATTCCCTATTTAAAGTATTTTTTAAGGAGTATTCCCATTTATATTGGGTCTAAAGTTAGAATACTATAATTTGCTGCTACACAGAATTATTACACAGAATCACCCGTCTCTGCTTTGTTGATCAGTAGTGGCTCCCAGGCATATCATTTATCCAAATGAACACATTTAATCCCACTTGTGCTTACTTTTTCCAAAATTAGTAATGCCTTCATGTTAGAGAGATTCTGATGCTGTGTAAATAGAACTTTCTGTTGTGATGGGAATGTTCTATATCTGTGGCGTTCAGTAGCCACTAGTCATAGGCAGCTGCTGAGCACTTGAAGTGTGGCTGATTCAACTGAGAAACTACATTTGTTTTCAAAATAATTTTAACTAATTTAAATTTAAATCACCAGTTGGTGGATAGTGGCTACCTTATGATACCAGAAATACCTTGATTGTTCTTAAGTCCATATTCTGCTTCATTATAATGCTTGGTTTGGTTCCTGTCTACTTCTATTGTCTTGGCAAGGGAGCCACAGTCATTCAAGTCTGTCTGTCTGTTTCTCTCTCTCTCTCTCTCTCTCTCTCTCTCTGTATGTGTGTGTGTGTGTGTGTGTGTGTGTGTGTGTGTATAAATTTAGTGGTTTAGGTGGACTCCAAATTAATGGTAAAATATAACATTTTCTCCTGATGTAATTGTTTAGTTAGTCAAGTATACTAATTATATTTAGTATAATTACCTATTAGTACCTAACAAACCACTCCCCAAATCCCCAAAATATGGTGAATTAAAGCAGTTCTATGGAGTACCTGGGTGATTTTTCTGTGTATTTTGGCCGGCACCACGCCTTGAACTGCATTTAGGGTAGGCTGGACTTGAAAGTCCCCAAGTTTCTCATGTCTGATGGACAATTGGCCATCAGCTGGGCCACTTGGCTCTTCTCCACTTAGTCTCCAGTCCTCCTTTAGGCTGGACTGGCTTCCTGTGGTCTCAGGCAGCACTCAGCAGAGATGAACTTAGAAGCTGTAGTCTTCCTCAGGTCTTACCTTAGATGTCATGTTATGTTCCTTCCACCAAAGTGTCATTGGTCAAAGCAAGTCGCTAGGCCAGCCCAGATGAAAAGGATTGAGAATGGATTCTACCTCTTGACGGGAAGAGTGGCAGGAAGGTGTCATACGGGGTTGAAGCAGTTCACGCCTTAACATCACCCCGAGGGCATGCTGACTTAAAGGGTGAGGGAGCCGGTAGCAGGGCCGGTTGTAGCAGGGCCGGTTGCCGCATCTTTTGTCACCACCTGCCTGGGCTTCAGAGACCCTGCTGGCATCACTCAGCTCTTGGAAGCGGTGTGCATTGCAAGGTAGTGTCTAGCTGGATCTAAAAATTCCATTCTGGCCATGTGTTTATATTTGTATTACCTTATTAACGCTTATTAATTATTTTGATTTACATTAATAATCAGGAAAAATGTATAACCAGATACTTGCATCTAAGGAAATAATTCTGAACATAAGACTCTCTTTCTCGAGCCAAATTCAGCACCAACAGGGCCATATCTCATTCCAAAGGGGATGAGAATCAATATCAAGGCCTCAGGTCAGTATCTTTGCCTCTAGTTTTCTGGCGTTGAGGGAAGGCTGTGTCCTCACACACAGTACAGAGAAGCGGAGAAGCAGGGAGTTGGTTTGCTCTTCTTCGCTGTGTGGTTTGCATGCTGTTAATGTGTAGTCATCACTTCATTGGCCACGCTGCCACACTGAGGCAAATTAAAGCAGACAGGCAGAACGCCCTCATCTAAAAACTACATTTGCAGTATTTGTGAGGGAACCAAGAAGGGAATTCAAATCAGAAAAGACAATGGAACTCTTATTTTGTTTTATTATTTTTAAAAAATATTTTTTTTTTTTACAAATAGTTTATTGTCAAATTGGTTTCCATATAACACCCAGTGCTCATTCCCACAAGTGCCCTCCTCCATGCCCATCTCCCCCCTCCCCCCCAATGGAACTCTTATTTTAAAATAACCAGGTGAACAGGTTGAATAAATTGAGAGATCCATTCAGTGACCTGTTTCAGGGTCATTAAAAATAATGGGTAAAAAGAAAAAAAATATCTAAATGTGTTGTGAAAAATAAGATGCCATCAAAGCAAGGTACAGGAGCACCTGGGTGGCTTGGTCGGTTAAGCGTCCAACTTTAGCTCATGTCATGATCTCCCCATTCGTGGGTTTGAGCCCTATAGCTGTGCTGACAGCTCAGAGCCTGGAGCCTGCTTTTTATTGTGTGTCTCCCTCTCTATCTGCCCATCCCTCACTTGCACTCTGTGTGTGTCTCTCTCTCCAAAGTAAATAAACATTTAAAAATTTAAAAAAAAAAACAAAAAAAAAACCAAGGTGGAGAACAGTATATATAATGTGACTTCTTTGTATTTAAAAAAAATGTCTCCCAGTGTAGAAATGCCACAAAAGCATATAAAGACATGGAGGAGACTTAACTGTCCGTCCAGTAGGGAATGGGTGGGGGACTTTTACCTCTCCATACTATTAAGTTTTCTAAGCATGTGCAAGTCAGCCTCTCTGCTTTTACCATGGACAGTATGGTGGAGAGATTTCGAGTGGTGACCCACCCCTGCACCATTAGTTGAACCTCAAAGGAGCATTTGAACACTTTGTTAAATATTTTGTATTGTTCTCTTCCAGGGATTAGAGCTTCATGCCCTCTTTCCTGGGTTTGCTGTTCATTTGGGAAGGTAGAGAATGTTCCTGAGAGCCTTGAGGTCCAACCTACCCAGTCTTGATCCATTCTCCCTTTTTCCTGTGTTTTGTGAGGTTAAAGAAATCTTTTCAGACTGCCCTGGGTAGCCTGCATTGCAGTTCTCAGGATCGTGAAAGGTTGTAACTAATACTGCAAAACAGGCAGCTAACACTGGGAAAACCCGTGTGGATTTCCCCACACTTTTCCAAGATTCTCCTTTTCTAGGGTGTTGCTTTGTTATCAAATTAAGAAAGCAGACAGGAATCACACCTGCTGCATGCAAGGGTAGCAGGTACATTGAGCTTTAGGAGTGTCCCAGAGGGTTGGCCCCAGCTGTGTGAGGGCTCCATGTAAACACTAGCAGACAGCGTTAGTCAGGGCCGCTGGCTGTGAGCTTAGCCAGAGTCACTCCTGCAAGCTGCTTGGCATGGCCTTTCTCATCCTGCCTTCTTGCACATCCCAGTCCAGTCTCCCCCTCACTGAAGCCTCTCTGCTGCCCCCAATCCCTGACGGCTGCTGTTTTAAAAAGTGGAAGTCATCGGGTTTGAGTCCTGCTCCAGCTGCAGACTGGCATACACATCATGAGTCTGGGCCCTCGCTGCATTGCAGGGCCCCGTGGTCTGGCCTGAGGAAGGAAGACTTTAAAGGGACCAGTGTGAGTGACGTAGTGCTGGGAGCCTGACAGCGTTCCGGTTCTCTCTGCAGCTTGGGGAATCCAAGGTGGCAGGGGAGCTCAACTGAACTTGTTAAAAGTAGCATTAATTGTATTGTTCTCTTCCATGGGTTAGAGCTTCATGCCCTCTTTCCTGGCTTTGCTACTCATTTGGGATGGTAGAGAATGTTCCTGAGAGCCTTGAGGTCCAACCTACAGTATTATCCTTCCTTCTGGCCCTGGTTTATCACAATCACTCTCTCGGGTGTATTCTCTGAAGGAAGGGTTCATGTGTGCTGTCCTCTTAGCAGTCTTTATGATTGCTCTACGTTCTCAGAAGTCAGGGAGGGGATGGCTTTTCTGTAAGCAGTTTAGTGAGTGAATTCAGCAGCAAAGTGGTAAGAAATGGTTCTCCAGCCAAGAGAGGTCATGTTCATCCTCTGATTGCCCAGATTCTCTGCTCGCACTGTTAGTCAGGGGGCGCCAGCAGCACCCGGGCACACAGTATTTCTGTGTGGGGTCCCCGGGGTAGGAAGCATCGTCTCTCAGTTAGAAAAAGTGAAAGTATTTGTGCACAGAGAAAAAGGAAAAAGGCCCCTGAATATCATCTTTTATCTTTTGTTTTCAGTTGGCTGATGTTGGAGTTTCTGTTCTTGACATGCACTTGTAACCAAGCTTGTTTACACAACCAAGTCTTGCCAAGACACAAGTTGTTTTTGCTTTTCACTGTAATTACCTCTTGTTCTTCTGTCTTGACTGCTGACATTCCTAAGTGATTCTGAGGTCTATTTTATGGGAAGCAGCCTTCCCCTGGGGGTTTCCTTTTACATACTGCAGGGCTCTCTTTATACTTAAAAAGAAGAAAAAGGAGAAGACTAACCTCATGGGATATTTGCAGAAAACCATTTAGCAAAAGCTAGATTCCTCATTGTTTTCTTAAGCTCGTTGTAATAAAAAAAAGTCTTAATTCAGAAAAAAAATTTTCTAACCATGTGTGTTTATCACTTCTGTCCATAGGAATTCCCTGGGGATTTGGGTTATTATTTATTTTTGTTTTCTCTGTACTTTAATATAAACTTCAGCATATAAAAACCAAGTCACTTTGTTAATGAAATAGATTATACGTAGAATGTGGAAGACTATTCAGTATTTAGATCTTTCTCTCGGCTTCCTAGTTGGGATGTAATGCTTCATCAAATGAGAAAGCTTAGAAGTCCCAGAACCTAGTAACACTCCAGAAATGGGCATCAGGCAGACCAGAGGTAGGTAGTGCAAAGGATTAAAGACCCTCTCACCCTCCCCATGGCTTTAAGGTTCTGGGAATCAGTTGCTGAAGATGGAAACTGCTGAGTGTCTAGTTCCCAAGGATCTAGGATGTAGGGAAGTTACGTAGAAAAGAGCAATTTTACGATTTTGATAACCACAAATGAGAAATAAGATGGAGTAATGGAATGACCTTAATCTCAGAAGAGGAACATCTGCCCTTTCTTGTAGGTGCTAACAGCTCTGGCTGAAGGTGTGTGTGTGTGTGTGTGTGTGTGTGTGTGTGTGTGTGTGTGTTCAAAATAGCATAAAGGAGAGACAGCTGAGGTACTTTCTTGGGGACAGCTAAGGCCATAGCTCTGTACTATTGTGCTTCCGGGGGAGAGAAGACTGCCTTACTTCGAATGTTACTGTAAGTGCGTTCTAAGACCATGTGTTTGTATTTCCACCAGGTTGGCTTATTTGGACGTCTTGGCACTTTTGCAGTAAGAGGGATCCCCATGGCAACGCGACTGTTGCTCTGTGAGCATGCCGAAAAGCTATCGGCCGCCATCGTTCTCAAGAACTACCACTCGAGGCTCTCTGAGCTCGTTAACACAGCAATAATGATTGCTTTAAACAAGAGGGACTGCGAAATCCCATCCAACCTGACGCCTGCGGATGTCTTTTTTAGAGAAGTAAGGAGTTATTTTGCCCTTAATGTGGCTTTCTAGAGCTGTGCTTTTGCTGATCATGCCTCGAACAGAGAAAAAGATTGAGGACAAAAAAAAATCTCATTGAAATTTTAAATAGGACTCCATATTTATTTATCACTTTCTCTATAAATTAGAGCTTGCAAAATTCACTAAAAAGTCTTCCCTCCTGTCTGCCAGATGTTTTCCTTTTGTCCCTCCAAACCCACTCTTGTCTCTGCCTCAGAGGCCCCTTCGCTCGTGGGCTCCCTTGCCCTCTGGCTTCTTGTTGCCTTTAACAGAGGTGAGGCACTACTATTCTCTGTTCCATTTGTTATCCCCTCCCACAGCTTCATTCCCTCCCGGCTTCCACTGCGGTTCGCCGTGCCTTCTGTCAGAGACCGCAGCTTCCCTCTGGCTGCTCTCCGTGTCTCCGTGTTTCCAGAAGCTGCCTCTTCCCAGCGCGCCTTCACACCTGGACTTACTGGCAGCTCCGCTGTTGCTGCCCCGGGTGCCGCCCGCCTTTGCTTGTAGATCCGCTTACTCTGCCAACACCGCTGTAAACCGTCACTTCACTAAACTCTTCTCAGGTGCCTGCTAGGATCCTACTATCTACCTTGCTATTAAAATCATTTTCTTTTCAAAGGAAAAGAAAAATGTGCTGTAAACTTTGGAAGGAGAAAAGAGGAAGGTGCTGGTGGCCTCTGGCCATTGTGATAACAGTACACAGTTCGTGTTCTTGTGTTGTGACTTCTTATAACCTCGTGAAGGGACGAGGGAGATTTACTCCCTCCCTTTAAAGGTGACTCTATGCTGCTAGTTCATCCCACAAGCTTTGAAATTCGGAATTGTTTTTTGCATTTGGGGAACTTTTAACTCTGTTTAATGCCTCTAATTTTTATTTTCTTCGTACTACAGTCTTGCTGTAATCTAGTATGTAACAGGCTATGCCAAGAAGTCTTTTTTTCTTAATACAGTTGACCGTTGAACAACTTGGAGGTGTGGGGTGACAATCCCCTTGAACAATAGAAAATCTGTGTATAACTTCTGACTCCTGCAAAACTTAAGCACTAATAGCTTATAGTTGATCAGAACCTTACCAATAAATAGTCAAATTAGCACATTTTGTATGTTATGTGTATTATATACTGTATTCTTACAGTAGAGGAAAGGAAATATTAAATTTTACCTAGGGACATATGGGTGCCTCAGTAGGTAAGCATCTGACTCTTGATTTAGGCTCAGGTCATGATCTCACAGTTCATGACCACACAGAGGCTGCTTGGGATTCTCTCTCTCCCTCTCTCTCTGTTCCTCACCTGCTCTCTTTCAAAATAAATATTTTTTTTAAATGAAATTTACATAAAGAAGAAAAATTCACAGTACTGTACTATATTTATCAAAAACAATCTGTGCATAAGTGGACCCATGTATTTCAGACCTGTGTTGTTTAATAGTCAATTGTGTCTCATGTACTGTAACCTAAAAATAAGACATTGAACTATGTTCAGGTTTTCTGTTGATTCCATAAATGTACTTCGTTCAAAGAATACCTGTTTTTATACACTTGAGTTAGTTTTTTCCTGGGGAATGTAAGGCAGAGCAGTTTTTTTGTTTTGTTTTTTAATCTAGGAAATATGCCCAAAATCTGAATGAAAGGAAGAAAAACAGTTTACATCAAGTTCCATGTTCTCATCAATCACAGGAATCTATTCAAACCTCCCACCACCCCCGCCAGCCAAGCTTACAGACAAAACTCGCAGGTGTCTGTACTTGGTCCTAACTCTTTGTTGTTTAGGAGGGTGAGGAGAGTGATGGTGTCCGAAGTAGAAGTGGGCAGAGAAGGGCTACAAAGAGAAGGCCATCTACATATTGGATGAGAGTACTATTTGGGAGGGAGAGGTTAGGTCTGAGGCCAGAGCTTGTCCAAAGAGGTGGTGTCTATCCCTCAAACTGTAGGAGAAGTGTCCAGAGTTAACTTTTGGAAGTGTTGGGTGTTGGGGGCAGTCTAGGTGGAGGTGAAAGGTCTTGGAATTCTGAGGAGATAGGAATAGTGAAGAATGTGTTAAGATTCAAGTCCGAACAAAACAAACAAAGAAAAGATTCAAGTCCGTAAAGTACATGATGGAGGGTAGAATGGTAGAGAGGAGGATGTATGGACTGGGGACCTCAGAGCTAATTCTGAGATCCTGAACTAGTCTATAAAAACCATCTGGCTTTTGGACTGGAAGGGTTGGAGTATTGTATTTGAGAAAAGGAATTTGGAAATGGGTTGTAAGCGTCTCAAGGCCTCAGCTTTGAGAGGGTACTGGGGTTTTGAAGGGGAAAAGGTAGGATCCTTAAGGCATATAGATAGCTTTCACAATCAGAATGTGTTGTAACTTTTGTCTTTTTTGTCTTTGTTCATACTTCATTTCAATATAGCAAAACAAAGATTTTTTTAAAAAATTAACAGAATATTTGAAAGCATTGAGTAACAGTCTTGTTCCTTTTTCTGCCTTTGGATCAAAGTGGAGAGCATACTAGTTAATTTATCTATTTTCCAGATAACTGAAAAAAAAATGAATGGTTTGGAAACCAGAAATAATTATCATTTGGATACATAATTCAGGAGTAGGACCTTAGGAATATGATAGAACAAAACCAAAAACATGATTGGTTTTTCAAAAGAACACTCCATATGGAAAATGGTAATGTTTAAGACTATGACATTTACTGGTCTTAAGCTTCCTTTGGGTGTAGTTCTGAATTCTAGGGTTCTGTAAGCAGAGGTAACTGCTTAAGAGAGAGACTGTCAGGTTAGTGTATGAACAGTATTTGAAACTGCTAAGTATGTAACTCCTATCATAAAGGTGTTTAGCAAGTGTTTTGACATTTGATTTGCTTTTATATATATATATATATTTTTTTTGCTTTTTATATCATATATGTTTCCCTATTGTTTTCACATTAACAGTGTTAAAAAAATTCTTATGTTTGGGGCACCTGGGTGGCTTAGTCAGTTAAGCATCTGACTCTTGATTTCAGCTCAGGCCATGATCTCTTGGTTCATGGGATTGAGCCCCAACTCAGGCTCTGAGCTGACAGCATGGGATCTGGTTGGGATATTCTGTGTGTGTGTGTGTGTGTGTGTGTGTGTGTGTGTGTGTGTGTGTCTCTTTCTCTCTTTGTCTCTATCAACTCTGTCTCTATCAAAATAAACATTATGGGGCACCTGGATAGCTCTGTCAGTTAAGCATCCGATTCTTGATTTCAGCTCAGGTCATGATCTCATAGTTCGTGAGTTCAGGCCCTTCATTGGGCTCCGCCCTGGCAGTGCAGAGCTTCCTTGTGATTCTCTCTCTCTGCCCTGCTTGCTCTGTCTCTCTTTCAAAATAATAAACAAACATGCATTAAATAAATGAGTAAATCTCGCATCCTAAAAAAAAAATTCTTACATTTAAGCTTTTAAATTAAATATGGCAAAAGTCTCTTGCTAGGGCTGTTAATGTGCCTTTGACTAACATCTGAAATAGAAAAGGAAGAAGAGGGTTTAAAAGAATGATTCTGTTTGGAGTATGCTTTGTATGTGTATAGGTTTGTTCCTTCAATTAGTTTGTACACTTAAGGGCAGCAAACCTGATTTCTATTTCTTCTTATCTCTGAGTGCCCAATGCTATGCAGACTCTAAGTGTATTAAGTAGTAAAGTGGGGCAAGTTGAACTGTGGGCTGTAACTGGAAACAAGGGTTTCAGTGTTTTAGAACAGTTTTGCACCATTATCTTCATGTGTTAATAATGACAAAAAATTGGAAAAGAACAGTTAGAAGTTATATAATTGACCCGTGAACAGTGCGAGGGTTAGGGGTGCCCAACCCTCCTCCCAACGCAGTCGAATTGTTTACAACAAATCCTAAAGAAGACAAAATAAATGTACAGTACTGTACATTAATTAAAAACATCTGCGTGTAAGCAGACTCACACATTTCAAACGTGTTGCTCAAGGATCCCTTGAACAGCATTTTCTCTTCCTACTTCCTTTTAAATGTATTTTTTGCCATCAACTGTTTTATTCTTACTATTGAGCTTAGACTATGACTTGATGGGAAAAACCCTTTGAGTAGATTCTGGGCAGTTGTAATAATTACCCATCGCCATAATTTTTGTTGAAAGTAGTTGTCTTCTCTGTACTCCCTCAGGTGTCGCAGGTAGATACCATCTGTGAGTGTTTACTGGAACATGAGGAGCAGGTCTTAAAGGAAACATCCTTGGACTCTGTCGAATGGGCTGAAGTGGTGATCAATGTGAACAGTATCCTCAAGGTACAAACCACGATGAAGATTTCAGCAAATCAAAGACCAGAGTCTGGCTGGAAGAGAAAGTGGTTTCCATATTACAATATTCCATATTCCAATGCAGTGGTTTCTGTATTGCCAGGAATTTATAAGTGTTTAACATTTAATTCCAAAAATTTAGAAAAATACAGTCATTTTAGTAGTCAAACAATTTGAGTGTCTTATGCATATTAAAAGTCTCTATAATCTTGAGTTCTGGATTATAACAATAGCCTTTTTGGAGAAAGATACATATATCATGGCAAGTGTATTAATGTTATAACTAAATGTCTTAATTACTCAAGAGCTTATCATTTATATTATTGATTAAAATCTTCCATTTAATCTTAGCTAATGGTTTTTATAGCAGTGGTTTTCCTCCTTTGCTTACTATATTTTTCCAAAATTGAAGTTAAATTATGGAGTAAAACAAATTTCAAATGCAGAAAGAACCAAAAGAGTGATTCTTGCAGACTTGGACTGAGTATTTTTTGGTATTGATAGACTTTGATGTTCAAATTATCTTTAAAAATACTGGGATTCGTCACTTTCTGCATATGCCAGTGCATTTTTTTTTCCAGGACATGCTACAAGCTGCCTGTCATTATCGACAGAATAGAAACTCCTTGTATAGAAAAGAACCACTGGAACAAGAACCTGAGTATGTTCCTTGGACAGGTGAGATTGTAAGCACTGAGCTCAAATGTACTGATTTATTATTAGCAGTGATTCAAAATATATTTCTAATGACCTGTCATTTTTGGAAGCTGTATTTAATTCCATTAGTGTGGGTTTGTAAGTGAAATGAAAAATAAGTATCATCTTCAGAAAGTAATTCTTGTGAAAATTGCTTTATTCTTTAGGAATAACTTATAGATTTCTCTATAATTTATGTAACTGATATTTATCATGTGTCCGCCAGATATTTAAACATTCTTTGACTTTTTCAAAAGTAATCTATACCCTCAAGGGGGCTCAAACTCATGACCCCAAGATCAAGAGTCTCATGCTCTACTAACTAAGCCAGTCAGGTGCTCCATGTCTACTAGATTTTAGTGCATATAGTTATTCAAAGAAGGAGGTCCTGGCCTTAGAAGCATTGACTATATTTAATGTTGATAAGAAAGTAAGTAGAGTGGCACTAAAGGAATTTAGAAGGAAGAAGGATCTCGTTTATCTAGCTGTGTTGAGGAAGTCTCAGAGAAGATGGGATTTAAGTAGGACATAGAGAGCTTTCAGCTGAACCCCTGTTTGATATTTTTCCAGCAGCAGTGAGGTGATACAGATTTTAGGCAGTTGGTCTTTCCCGAGCCATTCTAGAGCCCTTACTTAGCATGTTACTTGGTGTGATTCTGTAGCAACGAGTGGTCCTGGCGGCATCCGAACAGTCATAGTGCGCCAGCACGGAGTTGTCCTGAAAGTGGTGTGTCCTCAGGCGGACAGCAGCCTCCGAAACATTCTCACAGAGCAGCTCGTAGCACTGATTGATTGCTTCCTGGATGGTTACGTTTCCCAGCTTAAGTCTCTGGACAAGTCTGGTGATCAAGAAAGATATAGCAGTCTGGAAATGGAATACCTACAGAAAAGATCAGAGCTCCTATCTCCACTTCGTAAGTGCATGATATTTAGCAAGGGCTGTGGGTCTTTGAATTTGCAGAATGGATGAAGGAGTCAAATCATTAATGCAGCATATTCAGTGCAATATCATTAATCCAGCTGTAACCAAGAATGTAAAGCAAAGCACGTACATACAGCTTTCTACGTTCATTCATTTCTTTAACCTCGTTTACATAACTTTCCAGGGACAAGTACCATAGACGGTGCTGAAGATGATTTGAAAATGAATAAATTAACAATAAATGGAGACTGTGCTCAGAGAGCTTATAATCTCAGACTTTACATGAACAAGTAGACTGCACAATAGAGCACGATGATAGCTGTTAGAGGATACAGATGGAATAGTATGGCTGTTTGGCAAAGGACATGTTTTCACAGCTAGGATTAGAAGTAGCTTGTTTTGCTAGTATACCAAAGAAGGGAATGGCATCATGGGTAGGCAGTGATGAAGCAAGGGATTAAATTTGCCTCTTTAATGAATTTATATGGATTATGAAACTAAGTGCCAGTAAGTGGAAAGGTTTCTATTCCATTATTTTTAGAATGTAATATGAATTAAAGGTAAAGTTTCAAGTAATATTTTTTATCACAATAAGTTTTTACTAACAGGATTTTTTTCCATCTGATCTCATTTCTACAGTCACATTAGGCCAGTACTCGTGGGCTGCTTCATTAGCAGAAAAGTACTGTGACTTTGATATCTTAGTGCAAATGTGTGAGCAGACTGACAACCAGACCAGACTCCAGCGCTATATGACCCAGTTTGCTGATCAGGTAACGAGTGTTGGGGACGTAGGAAATCAATCCTGTAGTAAGGTTTTACCATTTCAAATCTTTTTTTTTTTTTTAGCGTTTATTCTAGAGAGAGAACACGTATGGGGAGAGGGGCAGAGAGAGAAGGAGAGCAAGAACTCCAAGCAGGCTCCAAACTGTCAGTGCAGAGCCTGATGCAGTGCTTGAACTCACAAACTGTGAGATCATGACATGAGCTGGAACCAAGAGTCGTATGCTTAACCAACTCAGCCACTCAGGCACCCCCATTCCATATCTTACTTGGGTGTTTTGTTGGAAGATGATATAGAGTCATTTTGTAGTTAACTTAGATACTGATTTGTGCATTAATGTTTCTCTGTAAACTGGCAGATGATTCTAAATATTATTGAAAGGTTCTTTGACCTTTTTGAAGAATATGTTAAAGTTTTCATTTCTATTCTAATATTTCCAGTTATAATGAAAGGTGCTTAGGTATATGAATATTGAGAGAATTTTAAAAATTTGAAAAGATCTTGGGAGCACAAGATACTGCAGCTTTTAGAGAGCTCAGCTTTCTATACAGCAAAGATTTGTGCTCTCCTTTAACATCATGCTGCTGCTTTTTTTTTTTTTTAATGTTTATTTATTTTTGAGGGAGAGAGAGGCAGCATGAGCAGGGGAAGGGCAGAGAGAGAGAGAGAGAGAGAGGGACACACACACACAGAATCCGAAGCAGGCTCCAGGTTCTGAGCTGTCAGCACAGAGCCCGATGCAGGGCTCGAACTCACGAACCACGAGATCATGACCTGAGCCCAAGTTGGACACTAAACCGATTGAGCCACCCAGGAGGACCACATGCTTTTTATTTTCCAAAAAACTTTGCATTATGCACTCTCTAGGTGTATTTAAGCCAATCGATCGTCCTGTAAAAACTATTTCTTTCTTACTATAAAAGTGAACATAGTGTAAAATTCAGATAGTCCCTATAAGCCAGAAAGATTTTTAAAATCACTCGTAATTTCACTATCCAGAGAGGAATTTTAGCATTTGGTTTATATTATTCTAGTCTTTTCACGCTATATTATTCTGGACAAATATGTTTTGCCAAGTGCTAATCCTAAACATTTGTCCTGATACCATTAAATATTTCACAGCAGTGTTTTGATGGTATTGTGGTATTTCATGGCCCGGATGTAACTTGCCTTATTTGGTCAGGGCCGGATTGTTGGACACGGCTTATGTAGTATTTCACAGTAGCACTAAAGTAAATACTCTTGCGTCCATCATGATTTCTATTCTTTCTGTGGATTATAGTTCTTTGTTGACATTTTCCATCCATTTTTGCATTCTTTTATTTTCTTTAATATGTTTAGTTCTTTAAAAATCCTTCTGTAGTACCTCTAAAATCTGATCATCCTCAGGTTTGCTTCCCTTGGCCTGTTGCTTAGTCATATTTTTCTGCTAATTATGTCTTATAAATTTCTTATGGTATTTTGGATATTATGTGTAAAGGAGCCTTAAAAATGGAAATAAATGCTCTTTTTCTCTGAGAGGCAGGACAGTCAGTTCATCAAGAATAGAGATGGACCAAGGCTTGGTTGAGGCTTTTGTTACATTCATTTCATTTCTGGTTTCAGAGTCTGGTTTCAAAGTTCATGGAAGAATTTCCTTTAGTGGAAATAGCTCTTCCATACTGTGTGGCTGTAGGACATTTTAATCTTCCTTTTCAGCCTAGCCTTCCATGCTGCCCCAGCATTCAGCAAACATCAGGTGGGTAAAACTGGCTAGGCATTTAGGGCTTCTCTAGAATCCTGTTTATCAGTCCAGTGCACGTGGCCTTCCAGCACAGAATTCAACCCCTGTGGGTAGTGGGGGCGCTTGGGCGGCTCATTCAGTTAAGCATCCCACTTGGGCTCAGGTCATGATATCATAAGTTCGTGGGTTCAAGCCTTGCATCGGGTTCTATGCTGACAGCTCAGAGCCTGGAGCCTGCTTCCGATTCTGTGTCTCCCTCTCTCTCTGCCCCTCACCTACTCGTGCTCTGTCACTCTCTCTTTCTCTTTCTCAAAAAAAATGAGTAAGCATTAAAGTATTTGATCCATGGGAATATTTCATTCTGCACTATTGCATTGAACTTTCCTGTATGCTTTCTAAGATAGGACATGGGTCTATCGAGCACCTGATGTGATTAGTGTGATGGAGGAACTGAATTTCAACATTTTAATTAGGTTTAAATAGCTATACTTAGCTAAGGGCTATCAAACCATACCTTGCACATCTAGAGTTTACATGATCTTGAGCAAGTTCCCCTTTCTGAATCTGCATTCCTCATTTGTGAAACTAAGTTAAGGATTTTTTTTTTGTTGTTTTGTTTTGTTTTGTTTTGGATGATCCTACTCTATAGAAAAGAAGTGTTTAAACAGGATCTGTATTCTGGGAACTAAGATCTTTGAAAAACTATGAACATTGTATTATCAGAAATGTATTTTTTTAAAACTGTATTAATAAATATTATTGGATTCTTTGCTCTTTTATTTGTAGAATTTTTCAGATTTTCTCTTCCGTTGGTATCTGGAGAAAGGAAAGCGAGGCAAATTATTATCTCAGCCCATTTCTCAGCATGGAGAGTTGGCAAATTTTTTGCAAGCTCATGAACATCTCAGCTGGTTACATGAAATTAACAGCCAAGAATTAGAAAAGGTAAGAAGGATTGAGTTACATGGAGCGGATTTAGGTAGTTTTTTACTTAGTTTTTTTATTATTATTATTTTTTACTTGATAGAGAAAGAGCACAAGCAGGGAGAGGGGCAGAGAGTTCAGAGAGAGAGAGAAAATCCCAAACAGGCTCCATGTCAGCACAGAGCCCAATGTGGGACTTAATCCCATGACCCTGGGATCATGACCTGGGTCAAAATCAGAGGTCAGAAATTCAAATAACTGAGTCACCCAAGCACCCCTTTACTTAGTTTTAATCAGTTTAGTTTAAAGTGATTAAATGCTATCTAGAAATTATTTTAAACATATGTTTCCTGACATAATTTGAATAAAGTATTCTTGTTTATTTATGACGACATTGCCATTATTTTTAATGTCTCAATAAAAAAAGTAGCCTGTTGTGTTTTGACTATTAGAGTAAAATAAAGCACAAAAATCGTATTAACATGTAAATAACAGTTGACCTTTATTTGTATTGAGTAGTAAAATGTTTAAATTATGAATAAAAACAGTACACGAATTAATTTCAACATTTGTCCTTGACAGGTTGTTGAAGTGAATATATAATTGTTCCAGAGCAAATGTTTTATACATGTCCCTTCTCCCAATAATTAGTGTGGCTGGTTGATATTTTATTGTGTAATTACTCTTGATGTATAGTACCAATTAGTTTTTAGGTTTGCTAGTACTGACTTGATCTTTCATTGATATACATTAGGGGGGAACACAAGTTTAGGTTGTGCTTTAGCCTATATTTATTTCAACTTGAATTAGTACGCAGGGTCTTATCATTTTTCATATCTTGTTTGTTGTAGGCTCACGCAACACTTCTGGGTTTGGCAAACATGGAAACTCATTACTTTGCAAAGAAAAAAACCCTTCTTGGCTTGAGTAAATTGGCTGCATTGGCTTCAGACTTTTCAGAAGATATACTGCAAGAAAAAATTGAAGGTAAAAGAAAGAATTTGAGCGTGAAACGTGCTATCTATGAACTCTTAAAATGCATTCCTTTTCCTGTTCAATGATACTTGACACAGGACCCATCTCTCCTTTAAGAAGAATGCGTTCTGTTCACTGTCTTTAGACAATTACTTAATTACGTATTTGGGATTCTATTTTTTAGAGAAAGTTTATAGGTTAAATAAGAATCGTAAAGAATAAAATTAAATGGTTTGACCAGTGCTCTGATTACACCCTTAGTGACTCATACTCTAAGAACAAGAACTGCAAAGAAACCTTTACTCACTGGGTTTGTTGTAGATCGTGGTAATTGTGAAGCTACTTGGTTGGAGAATTCAGAGCTTTTTGGTGTCATAATTGTGAAACTTTTGTTATATTGTCTGTTAAGAAAATGGTTGGGTATGTTGTTATTTTTGAGAACCAAGGGGAAGAAGCAGATGCAAATCAGGAGGATGAGGAAGGGCCCTGTACTGCACTTGAATCGGAGATCTCAGATGGAATCATGATTGTTTAAAGCATTTCTTGGGGCGCCTGGGTGGCTCAGTCGGTTAAGCATCCAACTTCGGCTCAGGTCGCGATCTCACGCACGGTTCGTGGGTTCGAGCCTCTCGTTGGATTCTGTGCCGGCAGCTCAGAGCCTGGAGCCTGCTTCAGATTCCGTGTCTCCCTCTTCCCCTGCCCCTCCCCTGCTCATGCGCTGTCTCTCTGTGTCTCAAAAATAAATCAACTATAATAACCACTATTTCTCAGTAAAAGGAGATGAGGGTCATTGAGGGAATGATCCTGGGGAGTCTCGTTGGGCCAGAAAACAAGCTCAATGTAAAGACGCCAAACAACACAACAGCCACCACTGGCCAAGTTGGGATAATCTGAACACCAAAAAGAATGATAGTAAAGCATTCTGTTTCACATTTTAACAACTGCCTTGTTCTCCAGGCAGTAGGGTGTGTTTTCATAGCTCCTCCCTTTTCTCCTAACTCTGTGTAGTTACCGTGACTGTTTATATGACTTGGATCAAATTGTGAATATGTTTTAACATAATTAGGAATCAAGGGCAAGCAGAATTAATAACATTTTAAGATCATCAAATAGTGACGAGATTACCTTTAGAGATGCTCCTTTTTTTTTTTTTTAATTCAGATGTGTTTTATGACAGAGCAGAAGTTTACTCCCCTCGCTGCCTCTCATTTTGAATTCCAGAAATGGCTGAGCAGGAGCGCTTTCTGCTACACCAGGAGACCCTGCCTGAGCAGCTGCTGGCGGAGAAAGAGCTGAGTCTGAGTGCAATGCCGGTGTTGACTGCCCCGCAGCTCATCAGTGTACGTCTTTGCCAGTCCTTAGTCTCAGAACAGCACTAGTGTTTCGAGTCTGATGGTACAGTTCCTAAGAGTAGTCCTCTTTCCATTTCTGTTTTTCCGATAACTTTCCCCGTCCTCTAAAATAAGATGTTGGAAGCTGCTTACGAACAGGATGTCAGTTGGTAGAAAGTAGCGGATCAGCCTCTGCCTCCCCATAGAGCTCCAGCTGTTCTAGAGATTCTTATCCAGGTGTCCAGAAGAAAGTACTTGGATTTCTCCTGGAAATCCAAGCATAGGACGTATACGGACCAGGAGCCACAATTCAGGCTCTTCCATAAGAACCATAGTGTAAGGAACTGGATTTACACGGCCTGTGAGTGCTGTCCTCCCCTTTTGTATGGAACACGACACATTCCTGATGGCAGGGCTCGATCAGGGGCTGCAGCCGTGGTGAAACAGTCTCGCTGTTACGCAGTATCCTTTAGCCTTAACTCTGCTTCTCTCTTTGCTGCTCTGTTCAAGAGAGCGTCTCAATACCAGAGTGATGTAGGATCCCTGAATTTGCTCTAATTCTATTAACAAGACAATTTAAAAACTTCAGTATTTTAGTCATTATTGGTAACAGATTTCCTGTCATTGAGCCCACAACACCCTCTCCTTACATAACATATTGCAAAGAATATGCTCAAAAGAATACTGAAGTATGTATCCTATCTTGAAACTAATATGAATTTACTGACATTTTTAAAGTATATATACCAAATTATACATATTAAGTACTATTGAGCGTAGGCGTGTTTTAGAAGACAGTATAATGTGAGGGTAGATGGAGTGTGACTTCCAAATGTGGTAGTCTCCTTAGCATAAAATAAACATACCTGTGACTTACTTGAAAGACTTAATGACTTATTTATAATCTCCATAAATTTCTCTAGTCTTGGTTATATGATTACTTAAAATAATCCTCAGTCTTATTTAAACTTGCCATAGCTGTATATCTGTGAAGAAAACAGAAGAGCTAATGAATATGATTTCAAGAAAGCTTTGGACCTCCTGGAATATATTGATGAGGTAAGTAAAATCACTTGAGATGATCACAGGCAAGTATCACAATTTATATATTTGGTTTTCTGTAGAACTGAATACATATTAAAAGAAAAGATAACCTCTCTTAGCCAATCATGACAATGTGTTAATTAAAAAAGACTCTTGGGGTTCCTAGGTGGCTCATTCTGTTAATTGACGACTTCAGCTCAGGTTGTGATCTCACAGTTCATAAGTTCAAGCCCCACATCAGGGTCTGTGCTGACAGCTCAGAGCCTAGAGCCTGCTTTGGATTCTGTGTCTCCCTCTTTCTCTGCCCCACCCCAATTTGTTCTTTGTCTCTCTCAAAAATAAATAAACATTTTTTTAAAAATTGAAAAAAGACTCTGGTTCAGCTATTCCTGACTCCCAATGTGTAGCTCTTTAGAAAAGTTGTCAGGAGATTCCCTTTCCTGGTATTTCTCACAAGTTCCCTGATGTCTTTTTCTGTGCATGAAAAAGAAAACACTGCTTTTCAGAGTCCTGAGGTATTTTTGTCTTTATTAAGACATTATTAATTCTCTAGTCTGATATGTTGCTTTACCAATTTATTTTTCATAGTATTCACATCATGTTCATCCTAAGAGGAGTTGTTTCTCAGCCTTCTTTTGGGGTAAAAAAGAAAAATGTTTATAATGACAATTCTGTAGGATAAGAAATTGGCCTTGCAATTAAAAGTAGTTTGGTAGACTTAAAAAATGTAATGGATTGGTTTTTATGTTACCTTGTTTAAAATCTTAACCCTTTCAAGGTTCCTGATAACATCAGATTATCACAGAATAATCAGAAACTAATTCACATAAAGTTATTAATTGGCTTACTCTTCTGAGTATTAATGTCTTCAAGGAAATTTTTTTAAATTATGAATTAAAGTAAAGCAATATTTAGGTAGAATTAGAAGTTATGTAAGCAAGCATGTATTTTTTAAAATCAGGACTTAATGAGAATATTTTTGTTTTGCTATAAAGGAAGAAGATGTAAATATAAATGATCTAAAACTGGAAATTCTTTGCAAAGCTCTTCAGAGAGATAAGTAAGTTCCCATAGCATGAATCTAAGATATGGTTTTAGGAAAGGACTTTTTAGGAAGATTATGATACATCAAATGGTCTTGTAGCCTAATTGTATTATAACATATACTATGAAAATTGTAATGGTTCCATTAGTAATCTAAATTTTTCATTCAATAATTAAGGAAGAGTTTAAGGACTTAGGACCACTGGTATAATACATCTCTACTTTTGATTTTAAAATTTAGACTGTCAGTTTGCACATAAGTGCATATGTTCCTGAGTTTTATAGAAGTTGGGCCAATTCTGCCAAAGAAGAAGCTGCATTTGTTTTAAATAAAAAGTTTATTAGAGTATTAGGACTCTCTTGTAAGTTATTGAGACCTCTCTTTCACAATTATCTCCTTCCTGAGAAGGCAGATTTCTACTGGTGGCAAAGAAAGGCAGTGGCCATGAAAGACAGAATCAATCAGGAATTACTTCTGAGAGAAGAATTTTAAAGCGAATGTGACTTGAGTGCTAACACCCTTCCCTACTCACAATTTTCCTTTTTATATGGTGCTGAGAAGTTGTAGCAAAACTATTTTTACTAAAGCATTTCTTCTCTGATCACTCCCAAATAGTTCACATTCTTCTCTTTGGTCTGGGAGGTCACATTCTGAAGCATCTAGCTCTGCCCGCTTGATTCTTCTTTCTAATATTAAAGAAAGTATGCTGTCATTGGACTGGAATTCCTTGTCAGGGCTTCATGTTTAAAAACTTTTAAGTATTGTAGGATATATCCATTGATGACTACAGAGCACTGGTTCTGTGTGTGTGTATTTCAGCAGTAGATAATCTCATCTAGATAAACCTTACATTGTATTAGACACCTGTTACCATTTTACTTTTATGAAAAGCAGAATATGTCATACTGTAACTATTACTTATGCCCCGAAGATCATGGAGTCCTTACTAGATTTGTTACATATTTATATAGAGGTTTTTTGGGAAAAGATACCTCAGTACTTGTTTTTGACCTCAAGTACATATGGTTATGTTGGGCAAATAGCTACCTAAGTGTAGCATCTTGTATCTAATACAAAGATTCTAAGTGTATTCAATATTTAAAGCTCCTTTATCTAAATAATTTGAAATGATATCACAAAAACTCAAGAATCCCCATGTGACTCCCCACCCCCGTCCCCAGCACAACCATTAGAACAAAACTACAGTAGCAAACAGAAGTCCTTTATTTCAGATTCATTATTCATGATTCCTTATTCATGATTTGATTTTCTTCTCATTGCAATTGTTTTCTAGCTGGTCCAGTTCAGATGGTAAGGATGATCCAATTGAAGTATCTAAAGGCAGTATATTTGTGAAAATCTTACAGAAACTTTTAAAAGATGGTAAGTAGTTTGTTAACATTGGAAATTATGGTATCACCCCTCAGTTTTAGAAATCTGAGAATAATGAGGATATGCCAAGGTGTCGATGCCAGGGCAATTTCAGATTAAACAGTATCATACTCAGAATTAGATTTGTTTAAAATGAAGGAAGAGTTGGGGCACCTGGGTGGCTTAGTCAGTTAAGTGTCTGACTTCAGCTCAGGTCATGATCTCACAGCTTGTGAGTTTGAGCCCCGCATCGGGCTCTGTGCTGACTGCTTCAGATTCTGTGTCTCCCCCTCTCTCTGCCCCTCCCCTGCTTCCACTCTGTCTCTCAAAAATACGGAAACATTAAAACGAAGGAAGGTTTTTTTTTTTCTTTCCTTGTCAATTGGGGGAGCATGTGTCAAGGTGAAGTCTCCATCCACATGGATCCTAGGGGACTTCAGTGAGCTGTCTCCATGCTGATTGGACAAGGAATAGACTTAAATGTTGGCTGTGACACCAAAAATGTATATGATAAATGAGATATAACTTTTTGTTTTATAACTGAACATACTATGGTTAAGAAGAAATTACAAATGCTTTTACAAATCCATTTTGGATGTTAACACTCTAAAATTCATTTTAGGAACAAAGTAAAAAGAAACAAGGCAGTATGTTTTGCACATGTTTCGTGTCTAAAGCATTGAGCACAAAATTCCACTTGCTGATTGAAGCTTTTCTATGGACAAAATGTTCTTCTCAGGGAGGTATATGAATTAGAGGATAGAGTTGACCCTTGAACAGTGTGTGGATGAGGAGCACTGGTCCCCAGCACAGTTGAAAATCTAAAATGACATTTGACTCCCTAAAAACTACTGATGGTCTGCTACTGACCAGAGCCTCACCAATAACACAGTCAATTAACACATTTTACATATTGTTATGAATTCTTACCATAAAGTAAGCCAAGAAATGAAAAAAATGTTCTTAAAATCATAAGAGAAAATACATTCACAGTACTGAGCAATTTTGCCTATTTTATATATATGTGGCTCGTATGATAGAATTATATCAAAATGTATGATACTAAGTTCAGGCAGTGTGCAAAATAGGCTAACTTAGCGTTTACCAGTTTTTTCAGATATAAGGACATTCCCTTTTATATCAAATGGAAAAAATACACAGTGATAAAAAGTTGTAAATTCAGCAGTCCTTCTAAATGGATGAGACTTCATACTGAAATTTACACATATTTGAAAGTTTTCTATACAATTATATGCAAGATACAGTATTTAATCTACACAAAACATGCCGAATGCTGTCCCTGATACACAGTAGTCACTCAACAGAGTGACTGCTTTGAATGCCTAGAAGTATTTTGCAGTTTCATAGAATCTGTAGCCCCCACTCCTCTGTAATGGACTGTATTCTGCAGGCCTCTATTTTAATTTTTTTTAAATGTTTATTTATTTTTGAGAGACAGAGCATGAGCCAGGGAGGGGCAGAGAGAGAGAGAGGGAGACACAGAATCTGAAGCAGGCTGCAGGCTCTGAGCTGTCAGCGCAGAGCTTGACACAGAGGTTGAACCCACAGACCTTGAGATCATGACCAAGCTGAAGTTGGACATTTAACTGACTGAGCCACCCAGGGTCCCTTACAGTCTTCTCTTTTAAAACATCATGGCTTAACCAAGTGAAATGAAAAAGGACCCTTAGAACAGTTCTGTGGACACACTAACCAATATTCTGAGAAGTAAACTCTCTGTGTTTCAGAAGCTTTTGTTTTATAGCCCATCTGTATTGGTCTCCTAAGCATTAGTTTTCAGATTTTTAGTCTCCTTTTATAAATGATCCAATGAAAATGTAATTCTATGACTAGATTACTTGGAGCTTGCTCAGAAGTGATTTGAACTTCTGTTCATGCAAAGGGAATACCTGCTTTCTCCACACTGACAGATTTTTTAGATTTTTTTTTAAATAGTTTATTGTCAAGCTGGTTTCCATATAACACCCAGTGCTCATCCCAACAAGTGCCCTCCCCCGTGCCCATCACCCCCCTTCCCCTCTCCCCACACCCCCATCAGCCCTCAGTTCTCAGCATTCAAGAGTCTCTCATGGTTTGCCTCCCTCCCTCTCCCCACTATTTCCCCCCTCTTCTCCCTCATGGTCCTCCGTTAGCTTCCTCCTAATCCACCTATATGTGCAAACATATGGTATCTGTCCTTCTCTGCCTGACTTCTTTCGCTCAGCATATCACCCTCTAGTTCATCCATGTTGCTGCAAATGGCCAGATTTCATTCTTTCTCGTTGCCATCCACATTGACAGATTTAATAGTGCATTCATTTTCAAAGATGAGCAAATAATACAAAGGTTAATTAAGCCTTTTCATTGTCACAAAATAAATGAAAACTAAAAATGAAATAAGGAATCTACCAACAGAACCTATTTTTTTGCTTGAAAGTATTTGGAATACTTGAAATTCCAAAAGAGCTAAAATGCACCAAAAGACTTTCTCTTCTCTATATTTGGAAATGAAGAAATGATACGGTAGATTTTTCTGTATGGTTGGAGAGTTGAGTCTAATAGATTATTAGAACCATTTGGGCCCAAATCCAATGCTCTCCATGAAATGTGTTCTTATAAAAGTGCCAGAGAATTGAATTGTGGCTAAATAAGTGTTTGGTGCTCTTTAAAGGTGACTTTGCTATATTTGTTATTCTTAGATTATAAATCATAGCTGGACAACAGGAAGGTAAAGTTGTGATTTTACAGAAAGAATTATTAAATTGTGACCAAAGGACAAAACAAGTAGAAACTATTATATAAATACACATAAGTATATAATATATATAAATATATAACGTATACAAACATACACTTACAAATTAAAAGTATATACATTATAACGAGAGCTAAAGACATTTATTTTTGGAACCTTTTTAATAATATAGTTATTATATACAATGGTAAATATTTTTAAGGATGGATCCTGAAGGTAGAGAGATATAGATAGCCTCCTATTTCATAAGCTCTGACAGCCGACAATTACTTCAGCCTGTGGAATGTATTCATCCTACAGATATATTTAACTTACCCATACAGAGCTCTTCAGTTTGTTTTTATATATTATTGAAGTACATTATACACACAAAATAAAATGCACGTATCATTATATATGCAGTTTAAATGTTTTTCTAGAGACCAGCAGAAGCTGGTCTTATAGTTGAGAAGCTTATCAAAGTCTTATTTTTGTATTTCTCTTAAGAATCAAAATGTTTGCCTAAACTGAACTGAAATATTTATCTGGCAACAGTCAACTGATCTGGTGAGCAGTGCCCCCTCTGGGTGAGGCATTGGCTCTAAGTTTACCCAGATCCCCAAGGCTGCCTTCCTCACCTGCCAGAGGCTTGACCCCCGCTGTAAAGAAAAAAAATCCCTCAGATATTAGTACTGAAGAGAGGGCATGTGCTGTAAACAGAGAAGCCAAATAAGATGTTAACATCTTTTTAATAGAATTGATCTTTTAGAAATTAATGTATTTGTACCAGTTTAATACTGATTTACAGGTAAGTCTTTATTGAAAGTATTTAATTGTAATAAATGATATATAAATATTTTGGATTTAGCCTCATAACATTTATTAATCCAGATTTATATTACAATTAAGTACAAAAAATGGTGCAAGGCACTTTGAGGTTCTTTGATTTTGAGACCCTTATGCTAATGTAACATGATAAAATATTGTCTTATATGAAAATGTTTTTCCAGTTTTCTTTATCAAGCAAGAAAACTGTACATACCTATTTGTAATGACGCAGATCTTGATTTCAGCAGTTCTGTCCCATCAGTGCTCATTGGCTTTCTGGCTTTACAGAGGACTGACTTAGGAAGAAAGGGTTCTTCACCTATCTCATTTTTACCTATAATATATTTTGAGACACTGTAGCTAGCTTTCATGACACTATTTTTACTAAATTATTTCTCTATATATAATTAGGTATATATTTAATATACATATAATTGTTGAAATATTTGAATATGTAATTATAAGATATTTAAAATACCTAAATATATAATTGTTGGAATATATAATCGTTTGAAATATTTGCTTTTAGGTGATGATTAGTTAAAAACTTCCACATTAAAAAAGTGACTTAAGCTGTAGAGAAAAATGAAAATATTTCAGGTCTTATTATTAAAGACTTTAATTAGACTGGCTGTTTTGACCACTAGAGGGAAAAAACACTCAAGCAACCTCTTCTAAGTAAAGAATGTCATGTTGTTAGAGCTGCAAATATGTTTGACAGTGGAAGGAATTTAGGACAGAGCATTTCCCAATAGTGCAGCGACATTATATTTTAAATAGAAGCACAGATGTTGTTATCATCAATCATCTTAATTCATTTGAGAGTTTCATTAAAATAAAAAAAGGACTTTCTGTGTTTGTGATTATAGGCATTCAGCTCAGTGAATACCTACCAGAGGTGAAGGACCTCCTACAGGCAGACCAGCTTGGGAGCCTGAAGTCTAATCCTTACTTTGAGTTTGTTTTGAAAGCAAACTATGAGTATTATGTCCGCGGGCAAGTGTAACTTCTGAAAATGGTCACTGTTGCTAAAAATGTATACAGGCGCATCCTTACGAAAATCTTAGGCCTTCCACGTCTGAAAGTTTGTACAGTTTTATAATGTGTTACTGAATTTTTTGTACTTTATTTGGAAACTGCCACAAAACAGCCATATGACTGTAGTTTTGTTTTTTAGTTACAAGATCTTTTCTCTCCTCCTTTTTCCATCTGTTTATCACTTGTTATTTCCATGCTGGCTACCCTTTCGTTCTCCTCCCATTCCATCATGATTTCTGGAGTTGCTGTTCTCATTCTGACTACTTGTGTGCACAGAGCACTTCAAGGCCTCAGTTTCTGTAACTCTGAACATGACAAGATTGCACTGACTGCCTCTGGAATTGCTGTCACTCTGGAGAACGTGCACTGAGTTCAATTGGGAGTATTTGGTGCCTGTGTTGGTCAGGGCTGGTGAGAAATGTCTAGTAAGATAGATGTCAGATTTGGTGACTTGCTGTAGGGCTAAAAGACAAAACAAGTGGGCATAATTCATATGAGCTTGAGAACTGATTTGTTTATTGGGAAAAGATTAAATATTTTTATGTAAATTAGAGTATTAGTGAGAGTAGTGAAAAACACTTTAAGTGGTAACCTGCCTGTAAGTTAGCATATAATAAGTTTATAGTATTGAGGTTAGTTATGCCCTTTCAGCATGGGGATTCACGGTATGTTTTCAGGGTGATTTACAGTGACTTCTTGCTTTGCCACAGACTGGCTAACGTAAAGCGTGTGTTATGCTACAAGTAATAATAGGTTTTCTTAATATGGCATCTGGTTTGCCGAAAAGTAGTGGTTCCCAAGGCTTCATTGTTCTCAGTAGTGTCATTACTCAGTTTTTATCAGCTTTAAATAAAGACTAGAGATTGGACAGGGAGTTGCTGGCATATTCAGATTTTGGCCCAGTAGAATGCTCACTAAACAACTTGCTCCAACAGCTGAAAAGGTCAGAAGTTAAATATGGTGAAGAGTCCGGTGCCTGGTTTCACCAGCCACTGCCTTTGTGCCTTCTTCCCTCTAGGCTTCAAATCCAGCCTCTGACCGTGTTGGCAAGAACAGGTTAAGGGAGCTCATTACATTCATAACTAGAGGAAAGACACAAGTGGCCTTGTCTTTTACTGTTTGCGGCGTGTGTGCTGGGACCGCACGAGGGGCTGGGTTAGGCGTCTGTGGAAGGGAAGTTGGGAAGAACTTGTCAGGTGACAGGTAAGAAATGGTTGAATTCCTGTGTTCTAAGCCAAGGCTTTGCTTTTACATAGGCATTAACAGTTCTTGCCTGTACGATCCTTTTAGGTACTAATGTGCTCTGGGGACACAGGATTGCGCCCCCTTCACATGCTTCCACAAATCTAAGTATCCCTAGTATGACAGGAGAGCCAATCTGACAGTGACTCTGGCCCCACTGATTGCCTGATGCCAAATTACCGCTGTCATGGTGTAAGGCGTAGTTGTCTTAAGTTGGAGGAAAAGGCTCACTCTTCTAGCTCTATCTCTTAGCCTGGCACCAGAATGGTTGGGTTTTTAAAAATTAATAAAATTGAGGTCTGACGTTTTAAATAATTTTTCTAAATTTTTAAAATTTGTTTCACAACATAGTCTTTATCAAGGAATTGCTGGGTTTTGTATAAATTAATAAAAGCACATTGTAAAGGTGAGCCTATTTTCTAAGGAAGGAGCCTGTTTTCTAAGATCACTGCCTTGGGAAAGGGGTTTTTCCACTCCTGTCTTTGCTGTTCTGAAAGTCACAACTTGCAGCCTCAACTGAATGAAGCAGCGCGCAGTGTTGATAGCAGCCAGCTTCTTGCACGAGTTATGTTTTGTTTGAAGACTTTGTGCCTGTGTTGATGGTGAAGGTAGAACTTGAGATACACGTAAGGGAGTTGCTGAAACCCTTAGCGAAGTGAAAGGCTACGGACCCCCTCTGTTACAGGGATTTTGGTTTTGAGGAAGACTTCAGAATTGGATTGTTTTCTTTTACTTTGGGGTCTGAATCAAAATGCTGAAGTCTGTCAGTCACCCCCAAGCACACGAGGCCTGCAGGGCGCACCGCACACTCCTTTCCTCAGGTGGAGCGCGCTCTGTAGCAGGGCCAGAGGGAAAGCCACGTCCTAATGTCGTCGCATCCACTTCTTAGCCTCTTGTGGCCCAAGACTCTTGTACATTTTTGAGGCTGATGACTACAAAAAAAAGGTAGTCCCACCTTTTTATTCCTGGACCTTTTACTGGAGAATGCCTGAAGAGAAAATAGTTTCCCATATTCCTATGTAAAATCGACTCATTAAATACCAAAATGCAAGTTTTAAAAATGTTGTGTAATTCTAAAATTAAAAAAAAAACAAAAAAACTGTAGAAAATGTGAAACCTGTTTTTTAAAAAGTATATGGAAGGAGATAAACCCCTGTAATCCCCCCAGCCAGAAATAACTTCAGTTACCAGTTTGCAGTGTATTTTAGGGGGACCTGGCTGGCTCAGTGGGCAGAGGGTGCATCTCTTCATCTCAGGGTCATGAGTTCAAGCCCCATGTTGGGTATAGAGATTACTTAAACTTTTAAAAAACTGAAATGTGTCTTAGACTCTTTGGGACTGTACATATTTTCTAACCTAATGTATATTATGAGCATCTCCATGTATGCTTGTTTCCCAGCTTTTTCCCATTGGCATCCCTAAGGCATCTTTTTAGACAGCTTTGCCCTAATCACTCCACCCCCATCCCTCCATGGAAGTTTAATACTAGAGGTACACTATACACACACACACACACACACACACACACACACACACACACACACACACACACATTATGTGCTCTGCCTCTGGAGGCCACAAATCATTGTAATATCTAAGATTTTTTTCATACCACCAAGAAACAGTTTCCCCGCTTTGAGAACACGTGTCTTCAGGATTCTTCAAGATACAGTTTTCTAATGAGTGCCTGACACTTTACCACATGGCTGTGCCATGCTTTAACCGTTTTGTCTCTCTCCTTCATGATCTTAACACTTGAGTTCATGGTTTTGGTTTGGGTTGGGTTATTTTTTTTTTCTTTTTTTGCCATTGTAAATAATAGAATAAATAAATCTTTGTACAAAAAAGCTTTGTGCCCTCCAAATTCCTTTAAAATTATGGGGTGGGGTGCCTGGGTGGCTTAGTCGGTTAAGCGTCCAACTTACACTTAGGTCATGATCTCGCGGTTCGTGGGTTCGAGCCCCGCGTCGGGCTGTGTGCTGACTGGCAGCTCAGAGCCTGGAGCCTACTTCAGATTCTGTGTCTCCCTCTCTCTCTGACCCTCCCCTGCTCACGCTGTCTCTCTCTCTCTCTCTCTGTCCTAGAAATAAATAAAAACATTAAAAAAAAATAAAATTATGGGGTGCCTGGGTGGCTCAGTCAGTTGGGCGGCCAACTTCGGCTCAGGTCATGATCTCACGGTCTGTGGGTTTGAGCCCAGCGTCAGGCTCTATGCTGACAGCTCAGAGCCTGGAGCCTGTTTCAGAATTTGTGTCTCCCTTTCTCTCTGTCCCTCCTCTGCTCGTGCTCTTTCTCTCTCAGACATAAATAGAAACCATTTTTTAAAAATTACATGGCTTTTCCTGTTCAGTTTATTATGTTTTTTATATGTTTAGTGAACAGTTTTAATCCTTTTGAATGTCCTTTACTCACCTCTCCTACTCACATCACCACCACCACCACCACCCCACCTCCACCCCCCGCCACCTCCTCTGGATACTTAGAAGAAAGATACTGAACTATTTACTGAGCATTTATGTCCCAGGTACTTACCTAGTTTTATTCTCCAAGTCAGTCGTAAGGAGTAGGAAGTATCCTCAGTTGAGAATACAGAGTCTTGAAATGACCTGCCCAAAGTCACACAGCCAGTCAGAAGGGGTGGGGGGGGGGGTGTACCCAGCCAAGTCCAGGATTTTCACTGGCTTATTATGCTGCATATTACGAGGTGGGGCAGGAGAGATGAGGGCCCTTAGAAGTGGCCAGGGTGAAAGCCATGACTTCATTTCAGGAAGTCTTTGGCTTCTGTTGGAAAAGATCCCTTGAGGCTCTTCTGTGTTTACAGAAACAAACCAAGTGTTGGGGAGGATTGAAGGAAGGGAGAAAGCGGTCCCAATCCCAGCCCCACCCCGACTGCTCCTAGTGGGAGCGGGAGTCGCCCAAGCCCCAGCTGTGGGACCTGTGACGAGTGGGCCAACTCTGGGAGCCATGCTTTTCTGAATTTTAAAACTGAATGGCTGGTACCTATCTTATTTACATCAGAATAGTTGAAAGCATTAAAAGCAACAATGTGAAAGCCTATGAAGTGTTCTATGAATTCATACTCGAATCAATAGGAAACAACAATGGGAAGCTGAGACCCAGCAAGGTTGGGGCACACAGATTAGTGAGGTGCTGAGGGAACAGGGCTGCAGAGAAGACGGCTGAGCAGCACAGGGACCCATCAGGGTGTCAAGAGCCAGGGCTGCACCTGAAAACTTAGAAGCAGACACTCTCTGTCAAGCATTCCCTACATGGCTGAGCTTTACTTAGTGATCGCTCTCATAAGGGTATGCACTCACCCACTTATTAGGTGAAAGCAGAGCACTGGTGTGTTCCCCAAAAGCGTACATGTATGGAGGTGGCCTTTCTACTCACTCGTTAGTTCTATTCCCTGGGCCAATGAGAATTCAACAAGACCAGAACGGGATTGGGTGGCCCCAGGATGACCTGTCAGAGACCATTTAAACAGCTCCAACCAAGAACAGAGAGCAGATGTCCGGCCCTGTGTTCTCGGGCCCCAGCTCCCCAGGCTTGCTATACTAGCACTTCTTCCCTTGTGTTTTCTTCATATCCGCTTCTTTGAAGCTGATAGACTCTGGGCTCAGAAAAGCTTGTAGGAGAGAGAAGAACCACACTGAGCAAGAGGTTTGGAAAATATGGACAACCCGATTGCCTTTAAAATATCACCAAATTCTTAGGTCTCCTTCCTACTTTCAGGCCAGAATTTAAGCTTTTCCCCTTATAAATGTACATACAGTGCATTTGCCAGGGTTTGGTTTGGTTTTTCCTTCCAAGCATCTACACTACCCACTGACAACAGGACAAGGTATTAAACATGAAATGTAGCTTTGTCTGTTATTCACTCATTCCCTAAAACTGAGGGGCGCCTGGGTGGCTCCTCGTTTGCATGTCCAGCTTCAGCT